AAAAAAAAAAAAAAAAACCGTTCTTTAGATCCTGGTTTCCTCATTCAATGCACAGGGCAACCAGCCCATAAAGGACAAATTATTAACATTATAACCTCAATCAGACTTTGAAAAAGTTAATTCATTAGTTCCAGGAAGTTCTGTGATCTTTTTGTGTATAGGTGGCCCTCCAAAAAAGACTGTTTCCCAAGGTATAAATAATATATCACAACCACAAAAATAAGCTTAGGTTCTGACATTCCTAGATGAGCAATTAATTATATGTTGTTTCATGTACTTATTCTGGCTAGATAATCCAGGAAAACTTCTAGAATGGTTTTCACATTCTGACCACCCTTCACCCACCTACCACCACACACCCATGAAAGAGACTTTTCCCAACAGGAGAAATGGAGTTAACAGAACAAAACAAAACAGAAAGGAAAACATTTTTCCCTCTCCTCTGACATTCTACAATAGGAAAAGAAATCCCCAATATAGACAGGTGTGAAATAGGAAGACAAGATACGAACAAAGGTAAGATGATATTAGCCTCGCATTAATGATTATTAAAGATTGACTATAGGTTTATCATATATGAAATCTGCATTCCTTGAAACCATCCCACTGAGGAGTACGAATGATAGTGAATTGAAAGTAATTAATTAATGGTGTGTATTGTACTCTCCAATACTATGGAATTTCCATCTCTCCTACTTATTTCTGAGAGTTCTCAGGGTATACCTAACTTGTCCTTAAAATGTGACCACTCAGCCTGCATCGATTCCTTCAGCTTCTGCTGGTCATTTTGATAGAAGGTGCCTTCCCTCTGGTCTATCTGAGGCTTCCTTTCCCTTGGGCTGCCGCTTTCTGTTGCATGCTACTGGCACTCTGGAACCCTCATGCTCTTGGGGTCATTTATTGTACTGAAATTGAACTAAAGTCCATACCTTTTGTGTCCATTCACGTTTTTAGCTGAGAAGATGAATCTATAGGAGGCTGAGGTAAGGGACAAATCCAAGAGACAAACCCCATGCTGAACTTGGAATCATCTAGACACTGATGCCTGTGGCCTCAATTTCCACTAGGAAGACTTCTTGACTAGGAGGCCTCTAGTCTCTTGTGTGAATAACCACTTCTCACTGGTGTTCTTAACATACCTGAATCCTGGATGTGGTACAGCTTGGGCTGCAACTGGAGTCTGGCCTGTGTATGCATGTATTTGACCTCCAGGTCCTAGAGGATGATATTTCCTTCCAAGCCCTGATTTCATCTCTGAATCACTGATCAATAGCTTGGTCCCAGCTGTACATAATCTAATACATTGACTCAGCCATCCTTAAAGGACGAAATTTTATGCATAACTCTATTCCAGATTTCAAATCTCTCTCTCTATATAGATCTATTTTCTTTACTATCTCTGTTAAAAAATTATTGTAAGTAGCAAAGGTTACAATATATTTGAATGCAAACATGGTTTATCTGTACATATGGGTCAAAACAAAGCATTTATTTACTGCTATTTAGCTACAATGTTAGGAAACTGCCATTGCACATACTCCAGTGTGAAATTTCAGTAAGTACTTTTCAGTGTCTATGTGCAGGATTATTTTAAGCTCACTACATTTTAATGTTATTGCTGCAGTTAGAAGACATCAGCTACTAATTATGATAATGTTTTGTTTACTTTATATATCAAGAAAAAAGCCATTAGGTTAAAATTATCTACTATATCTCAATTACATTGTAATAAGATATTTACCAATATCTTTCAGGATAAAATCTGGAATAAATCAGTTAAGTTAATATTCTTGATAATTTTAAGATGAAATAACCCTTTGTTCTCAAATTTAAATACTTCATATTTTTAGTATGTTTGTGAGCTAACAATAGAAAAGCATGGCGAATTCCAAGACAATGGTATTTTCCTTACTGTAAGGAATTAAGAATTAAGGCTGAACAAGGGGCTGTATGTGTAGAGGGTACACAGCCATGGATTTTGGCCTGCTGTGCCTCTGTGCTTGTCCCATCAAATAGCTCCCGCAGTCATATTTGTCCCACTGTGTGCTTTGCTATCTTTCTCCCTGCCAGTCCCTTCCTTCTTTTAGCAATGATGATAATGATAATAACAGTAAACATATAAGACAGTAAGAACAGTAAAATATTTGCAGCAAGTTATTTCCCTAAATCAGGTTTCTAGGTAACCAAGCTTTATTAAAGTATAAAAGCTTTACTTATTTTTGATGGACTTATTTATAAAATATATAGACGATATGAAAAATAATCTTATGTAACCATGGTTTTTAACATTTTCTTAATGAATAATTGTTTTGAATTACAGAACACTGATGCTTTTTGGATTCATTCATTCATTCATTCATTCATCCATCAATTCAACAAATATTTACTAAGTACTACCATGTTCCCAGAACTATAGGGATAGAGCAGTGAGCACAACATACAAAAAGTGCTGCCCGGAAGACACTCACATTCTAGCTGATAGGTAGGATGTTTATCTCCCTAACAAGAGGGCCCTGACTGCCACAGTTTGGGTTGTTCTGTCTCCTTCTTCTGCTGTCAGCTGTTACCTCTTGCTGGCAACATGTCGCTCCTGATCTGGGTCACCACCGCAGGTCTTTTCCTAAGCCTCTCATCCAGCCAATAGCACCATATCCCTGGCTGGAACCCATGCAGCTCAGCTTGTGCCTGTGCTAAATGCACTGCTCCCTGCCCTTCTGAGCAGTCCCCTCATCCTTACTCTGAGTTTGGAGTCTTCCCTTGTTTCCTTTCTTTATTAGTGTGACTCAACTCTAATGATCTGATTTAGGGATCAGGTCTCTGTGCCATTGTTCCTGGGAAGATGAATGCATCTGCGTGTAAATGAAATGCTTAGAAGAGTAGCCATCACCAAGGGTTATTACTTACAAATTTCACAATACAAAACACTATCTTTCTTACGGTTGTGGTGGCTAATCTGATAATTCTGAACTTCCATGAAAACTTAAAAAGGCAGAGACCAAAGCTTTCAAAGGGGAGGGAAATCAGGTCTCCCACACTCTCATATTTTGACCATGACTGGTTAGAAGTGCAGGGGAAGGAACAAGAATTCTGGGTTGCCTTTAAGAGAATGGTGGTGACTGAGGTGAAAAAGAATATCCAGGGCACCTGGCTGACTCAGTTGGTAGAACATATGACTCTTGATCTTGGGGTTGTGAGTTTGAGTCCCATGTTGGGTGTAGAGATTACTTAAAGATACAATCTTAAAAAAAAGATAAAGAATATCTAAGCCTCATTCACAGACTTATCGTATGTTGGAGCTGGAAGAAGGTCCCACTGAACAGCAGTGAATACCGTGGTTAGGAACTCCAGTTCTGGGGCCAGATTGCCTGGCTATACACCTTACAATCATTTGACCTTGGCTGTCTACTTAACATCTCCATGCCTCAACTGTCTCCTCTGTAAAACGGTATGTTCTTCGCAGGATTATGAAACTCAAATGAATTATATAGGTAAAATGCTTTGTATTGTGGTCCATAGTAAGCATATGGCAAATGTTAGTTATTATTGTCCTAATCTCTTCCTTATTTTTACAGATGAAAATACACAGATTTTTAAGTGAATAGAAAGTTGGAGGAAAAATGAATGCCAAAGCCAGGTGTCCCGATTCTCACAATATTACACAGATTTTTTTCTAATACCCCACATATTTAACAAATGGAAAGAAACAAATACTGAATCATTTAAATGATCATGAAGGGGATACTTAGTTTATATATAAGTCCCTTTTCCCCTCTACGACTGAAATATTCAAACACACCTTTGCCCACTTCTTTTCCCTAATACCTAGTGGGCCAGACTGATTCTACAGAGGCAAGTGACAACGGGTCAGAATGCCGTGTGAAGATTAACATTACGTACTAGCAAGGGCACCCTTTGCTTCCTTACCTTAAACTTGTCAACTTCAGCTTTTGAACATGTTGCATGGTATGACAGCACCTGATTCAGAAGAAAAGGAAAAAAAAAACCCTTTAATAACTAGACATGACTGTTTTCTGAAATTCTCCTGGCTTATAAATAAACGCAGTTCATTATGTCACCTGGAAAATAGTGGATTTTTTTAATTGAAGTATAATTGACATAAAATATCCTGTTAATTTCTGGTATACATCATAGTGATCTGATACTTTTATGCATTACAAATGATGCCCATGATAAGTCTAGTTACCATCTGTCACCATACATTTATTACAATATTATTGACTGTATTTTTTATGCTGTACATTATATCCCAGGACTTACTTATTTTCTAAATGGAAGTTTGTATCTCTTAATCCCCTTCACCGATTTCATCTGCGCCCCCCAACCCTTCCCCTTTCTGGTGACCAAAAGTTTATTTCTTGTTTCAGTGAGTCTATTTCTGTTTTGTTTCATTTGTTCTTTTCTTTTCTTTGGTTTTTAGATTCCACATATCAGATGTATGATTTGCAGATATCTTCTTCCATTAAGGAGGTGGCCTTTTGGTTTTGTTGATGGTTTCCTTTGCTATACAGAAGCTCTCCAGCTTGATGTAGCCCCATTTGTTTATTTTAGCTTTTGTTGCCCTTGCCTGAGGAGACTGGTCCAAAAAAATTTTTTTGCTAAGACTGATGTCAAAGAGCTTACTGCCTATGTTTTCTTTTAGGAGTTTTATGGCTTCAAGTCTTACATTCAAATCTTTAATCCAATTTGAATTTATTTTTGTATATGGTGTTAAGACAGTGGTCCAGTTTTACTCTTTTGTGTGTAGCTTGTCTGGTTTTCCCAACACCATTTATTGAAGAGACTGCCTTTTCAACAGGGGATTTTAATGTATATGAAATTTCCAATAACTGTGACACAGATTGTTATCTGTGCAATGCAATGGAATCTATTATAAGCTGAATGGAACTGCAGCCCACATTAAAGGCTAAGGATTGATGCTTGGAGGAGCAAGATGGCAGAGGAGTAGGAGACCTAAATTTCGTCTGGCCCCAGGAATTCAGCTAGATAGGTATCAAACCATTCTGAACACCTACAAACTCAACAGGAGATTGAAGAAAAGAATAGCAGCAACTCTCTGAACAGAAAAGCGACCACTTTCTGGAAGGTAGGACGTGCGGAGAAGTGAATCCGAGGCGCTATTTGAGAAGATAGACAGCGGGGGAAGGGAGCCTCCATCAGCCACTAGGGGCAAGTGATAGAGCAGCGGAGCACAAAATCGGAACTTTGAGAAGTCAGCTCCGCTGAGGGACGTCACTCCAGTGGCTTAAGCAGGGGGTGGAACCCTCGCTAGGACAGTGTGGTCTCAGGACCCTCGGGTCACAGAAAGACCGGGGGTGCCTGAGTACAGCAGAGCTCCCATGTATCAGAGCAGGTAAGCCGGCTGCAGAGACAGAGCTGAGGAGTGGGCTCTCAGCTCGGGGTTGCTATAAACTGTGATCCGTGGCACAGTCAGGCCACTGCTCTTCCAGCAAGGACCCAACAAGTGGCAGATCCGGGGAGACTCCCCTTCCTCCCCCAGGAGGAATCTGCTGGGTTTGGAGACTCCACACGGGGTCCTGTGCCAGAGCTATAAATGCTCGGTCATAGGTTGGGTGAGCATCGAGTGTGGCCAGAGACTGGGGAGACAGGAGTGATTGACTGCTTTTCTCTGGGGGCTCACTGAGGAGCAGGGCCCCAAGCTCTCGGCTCCTCCGGGTGGAGATTGGGAGGCCACCATTTTCAGTCCCGTCCTCCAAAGCTGTACGGAAAGCTTGCAGGGAACAAAAGCTCCCGAGAGCAAATCTGAGCAGAATACTTAGCCCAACCTGGCAAGGGAAGGGCAATTCCGCCTCCAGCAAAGACATTTGGGAACCTCAGCAACAGGCCCTTTCCTCAGAAGATCAGCAAGAACAGCCAGCCAAGACCAAGTTTACTGATCAATGAGAATGGCTGAACTCCAGTGCTAGGGGAATACTGCACATAAAATTCATGGCTTTTTTCCCATGATTCTTTAGTCTTTCAAAGTTAATTTTTTTAATTTTCTTTTTTTCTTTTTCTATTTTTTTTGAATTTTTCTTTTCCCCTTTTTCAGCCATCATCTTATCAATCCCTTTTAAAAAAATCTTTTTTATTTTTCATTTTTAGAGTCATATTCTATCCCTTCATTGTAGTTAACCTTATTTTTGGTATATATATGAGTTGTTCTCTCTTTAAAACTTTGGGATACAGTTTCTTCTAATGGACCAAAATATACCCTAAATCTCTCAGTGTATGATTTTGTTCTAGTCTCCTGCCTGATCACATTCTCTCCCCCCCTTTTTTAAAAAAATTTCTCTTCTTTCTTTTTTCAACCAACTTCTTATCAATTCCTTTTATAAAATCTTTCATAATTTTCATCTTTACAGTCATATTCCATCCCTTCATCTTATTTACCCTTATTTTTGTACATATATGTTTTTCTTTCTTTAAAATTTTGGGAGGCAGTTTCTTCTAACAGACCAAAATGCGCCCAAAATCTAGTGTGTGGCACTGATCTATTCACCAGCCTGATCATATTTGATCATATTATTATTTTTTTCTTTTTCTTTTTTCTTTCTTTCCCTTTCTTTTCCCCTGGTGATTTGTTTAGTGTATATTTTTCTGGGGTCGTTGTTACCCTGTTAGCATTTTGTTCTCTCATTCATCTATTCCCCTCTGGACAAAATGACAAGATGGAAAACTCACCTCAAAAAAAAGAACAAGAGGCAGTACCGACTGCCAGGGACCTAATCAATACGGACATGAGTAAGATGTTGGACCTAGAGTTCAGAATGATGATTATAAAGATACTACCTGGGCTTGAAAAAAGCATGGAAGATACTAGAGAAACCCTTTCTGGAGAAATGAACTAAAATCTAACCAAGTCGAAATAAAAAGGGCTATTAATGAGGTACAATAAAAAAATGGAGGCTCTAGGGGTGGCTGGGTGATAGACATTGGGGAGGGTATGTGCTATGGTGAGCACTGTGAATTGTACAAGACTGATGAATCACGGATCTGTACTTCTGAA